ATACAAAAAGCATGAAAGAGATTAACAAAAAAGTCAAAGTAATGCTATTGATAAGATTGTTAGGCGAAGAACATAAATTAAACGGATGGATCTTCATGCCATATTTATGGAAGTTGTGCAACAACTTGGTGAAGGTGTTGAAATTGAGGAGATTGGCAATCCAACTACTGAGGTGATAGCATCTAAGAAATGCTCAACTCAAGAAATATAAACAAGCAACTAAAGAATGTATTGGTTGAGGTAAATATGATTCTTGTAGTGCTTCATTGAATTTCATAGAGAACTCATTTGAATTCAATACATTGGAATGATTTCCATTGTCCGAGAAATGATTAAACATATTGAAATGATGTTCACCATAATAAGTGTCAATCTGATTTTCTATCATTTTGCAATTGAAATGGCCGAGATCTAAATTTTGGATCAAGCCATTCAATACTGCAAAGAAATCATTTGGTGGAACTAAAGAAGGTACTGCAAGTGGTTGAGGTAAGCATGTTTCTTGAAATGGTTCATTGAAAAATAATTTATCTATTAGAGAGGATTTCATCTCCTTTATGGAGACATTAATCAAAGGGATATAATCTTCAAGTGGAAGTGCTTTTTTATTTCTCAATTACAAGTTCTTAAATAGATAAAAGTTATTAATAACAGAACACATAAATTACTCCTAATTATTCTGATCTAAACAACTCCACTAATCTTGTAGCCTAAAGACCAGGAAATAACATATTTAGCTTCTAAAAAATAGCAACAAACAAACCACTACTGCACAAATAAGCTAGTTATTGTATATATTTACGTAATTATATAGTTGAATATAAGGAATAAATAAAATCAATTAAAAAAATGAAAGAAGGCAAATAATAAAAATAATAATGTGCGTTTGAGAATTTTTTTTTATATAAGACAAAGAAACTTTAAAAAGTTATATGTATTTGAGAAAATTTTAAATATAAGGCAAAGAAAAGAAAAGTACGTGTATTAATCTATTTTAAATACATTTTTTTAAAGAGGCCCAAAGACCCATTTATTAACAAAAAGGAATCTATTTTAAATACAAGGCAAGCAAATATTTTTTTAAACTTTTTTAAAAAAAAAAATGAACAAAAAACGTATATACATGTAAGGCACCTGTATATCACAACAAATAACTGAATTAGGTTGTGCCTCCACATAATCACATAAGATGCAAAGAAATTTTGGGTAGTAGGAGTGTAAGACCTTGTAAATGAAATTTCAATCACAGTTTAAAAAGAGTATAAGTGGACCAAAAAGATAAATATAGGGATATTTTTAGCAAAATAGGTGAAAATAAGATGTTTTTTTAATCTTTTCCTATAGTTCAGGGGTATTTTAAATCGTTTTCTATTTGTTTTAACATTTTCCTATAGTGAGACTTTTACTTATTTTCTTGTGTGGAGGTATGGTGATATGTCGGGAGAACACAATCAATATGCAATGACACTGTATCTGCATCGACAGGATGAGAGGTTCAAATTTTGACTCTAATAGTAATATCCACAATATAACTTTGCAGAATTTATTTGCATGAATTAGGTAAAGGCGATTGTTTAATTTGTGAATTACTAAATGATATCCGCCAGAAAATCCTTTGTTCTCTAACATTGAAGCAGAGAACAGTTGCTTCCCTTATTTCGAGAAAGTGGCATCACATGATAGAAATCATTGACGATCGCAAATTCGTGCAAACAAATTATGTAAAGATATACTATGTATACTGCTACTATCAGTGTCAAATTTTGAAGCTCTCAGCTTGTCGATGCATATATAGTGTCAATTTCAGGGCCGTCTCTACAAGTTTGGGGGCGTAAAGCCAAACTTCATAGTGAGACTTTATTTTTTTTAATTGATATATATAAATTGAATAATTATAACATACTTAGTGTAATCCTATGAATGAGGTCCGTAGAGGTAGTATATATGAGGACTTATGAAGTAACAATGTAAACCATGTAAATTTTTAATGAAAAGTATATAATATAAAGTTAGAATAATAAAATGTGACTCTAATAGTAGTATCCACGGCTCATAGACTATTCTCATAAATCCAAAAAGGTGACTGAACAGTTCTACTTTTCTACACTTAGCTACTGAACCCTATTTTACCAGCAAACCAACTATAAAACACATCAAATCTATTAAAAAGAAGCTAAGGAAGTTACCCAAATCCTAAGTTTTGAGAATTTGACATATATATATACAATATAATTTTTCGATGAAGGGTGTCCAGTTCGACACTCTGGGGTGGCTATAGCTACGCCGTTGTTAATATATCATCCTCCTCCTTTAATTGGTTTAATTAATGAAAAAAAAGTTTAATTATGTCATTAAATTTTGAAAAAAGAACTTATTTATGACATATGTTAAAATTTTGGCTATGTCATTTCTATTTGAGAAAAGGCTAATCCATGTCATTATGGTTTAACGGAAAACCCATCCAATTTTACAAACTTATTTTGTCCATGTGGCGAATGATGATTCGTCCACGTCATTTTTTTTAAAAATGAATCAAATTTCTAAAATCCATTGATGCATAAATAAGATTTTTCTCAAAGTTGGATTAGCATATTTAAGTCTTTTCCCTTAATTAATTGATTTCCTTTCTAAGTAGTAGTATATTTTCACTAAGCTATACTCTGTTTCTTGAATTGTTACCTTAATAGGAGTAGTAAATATTTTAAAGTTGTAATAATCTATTTATTTCCTTATTTGGTTCATGAATACACGGTTTCCTTATTTTTATTATATAGGAAAGCGAGTTAACGGATATCACACCACTTATATAAATATATAATATAAATAATTGGAAGATATTGCTTCTTCAACTACACTTGTTACTCATTCTATTTTTTCTACTTTCCAATTTGCAAAAAAAAGAAAGAGTAGTTAGTGAGAAATTATGGCAAAGAGAATCCAAGAAACCATCAAATTGTTTGGCGCTGAAATTAATGTGAAGAACGTTTCTTCTTCTGGAGAAGAATCAATGAGTAGTCGTAGTAGTAAGGGAAGAAGATAACAGAGGGCATTCTTGATTGGATTGGATAAACTTGGAAAAGGAAATTGGACTCAAATTGCTAAAGACTTTGTACTGAGCAGAACACCGACACAAGTTGCGAGTCATGCACAGAAATATTTTGACAGACAAAAGGAGAAGAGAGAAATCAAACGCAAAAAGTCTAGTGTATTTGACATTAATTTGAACCAAGAATCCTCAAATACTTGTCCGGAGTTGGTGTCGAAAAGGGCAAATAACAAGAGGTTTTGAATGAAGAAAGTCCAATTTCAGTCAGCTACATACTTGGAAGCTATGCGTATGCCTATGTTCCCATGAACAATTATCAGTTTAATTTTGTCACATCATCAACTAAAGCAACTCCACCAGCCTTCGTCTCAGTCTAGTTCTACGTCTATGGATGATTTAGATCTAACTCTCTAGCTATATATTCAAGATACAACACCAATGAGTTTTGTTTTGACAAAAAATTACCTAATTTTGGATCTCTTCAGTGATGTAAAAGTTGACAGCTTTATGTTTGTTCTCTCATGTAACTATTTTTGTTATTTTCACTTGTGGTATCAATCAATAGCACTACATTTTCTGGTTTTCATTGGTCAGACCCAAATTTAATTCTTCAAAAGGATAGTCTGTCGCGCTTAGCTCTATGTCTAGCCATATGCTTTAGAGCAACGCTGCAGTTTTGTTGGCTTGTTAAATCTCATTCACTGTACAAACTGAACTTTATACCATTGCATTATGTTATGGTGTTGACGCTAGAAATGTGATTGTGATTGATGTCGAAATTCCTATTTCTATCATATTGATTGTTGATGAGTTAATTCCATAATATTGCAAACATGATTCATGACGAATGTAGCCAGCTCAGGTCCACATCAAGCACATTGAAATTCCGTACCACTTTAGTATAACAAATGTTTCTAGAATAAGGATTGCTAAATGGATCTAGAGGATTCATATAACTAATCTCGACTAATTGTATACAGTATACGTTAGATAAAACTTGTGTACTCAAAACCTTCACACAGCTAGAAGATATATTGATTTTTAACTCTTATTTAAGTTGGCTGAAAACTCACCTGATGAAGGTCAACTTCCCCATTTACCAGAAAAATATGTTCTTGTATAACCCACTACCATGATCTCACCCAATACCACTATGGCCTACAACAGAAAATGTTCTTTACTCAATTCGTCCGCAACAGTTCCATGACACTTTTGAGTAATTAAGGTATTGATTGTGAAGATTTAAAAGTGAATTCACGAATTAATGAAGCTTTGCTGCGATGATCCTTGTGAGTCGTTTGAATTGCTAGCTAGAATTTATTCGGGAGAATAAGTCTAGGATATTACTAATTTTCCGGCTATATTATAATTTAATTTTTGTATTTGTAAAAAAATAATAATTGGGCATCTATAATAAATTTTACAAGAAAATTAGTGAAACATAAATAAATTTGACCATCAAAATAATAAATTTAAATTAGTCATTAAACAAAAAAAAAATATGTGTGAGGATGATCAAATATATCTCATATGGATTATATTTTTTCTAGAAAAATAATTTTAAAAAATTAAATTAAAATATTTTTTTTCATTTCCGTTAAATGTTATATGTGAGCCATATGTATAACCATAGAGGTATATATCAACTCTAGATGACAAAGTTGAGAGATATATCAGACACCCTATTCCCTTAAAATTATTTTTGTCATTGGCTTCGTTGTGTGTTATGAACAATAAATCTTACACTTATAAATCATATTAATTATTAATGCCTTAATAGGAGTATATTATGGTAATATTTTTAAGTAGTAATAATATATATGTCCTATTTATTTATTTGTTCCGCTCCTAACAGATTAGGAATATCACAGCGCTTATAAATATTTATTTGTCTCCAACTACACTTCACTTTGCAATTTGCAAAAACAAAAGAAAGTGCATCTACTGAGAAAAGATGACAAAAGAAACCATCAAATTGTTTGGAGTTGAAATTAGTGTGAACAATGTTTCTTCTTCTGTAGAAGAATCAACAAGTGACAAGGGCGGGATGAGTCGTAGTTGTAAGGGAAAAAGATGGAGCGAAGATGAACAGAGAGCGTTCTTGATTGGATTGGACAAACTTGGAAAAGGAAATTGGACTCAAATTGCTAAAGAGTTTGTGCCAAGCAGAACACCAACACAAGTTGCGAGTCATGCCCAGAAATATTTTGACAGACAAAAGGAGAAGAGAGCACTCAAACGCAACAAGTCTAGTGTATTTGACATTAATTTGGACCAAGAATCCTCAAATACTTGTCCAGAATTGGTGTCGAAAAGGGCATTAAAGGACAATAAGAAGAAAGGCAAACAAGTTTTGAATGAAGAAAGTCCAATTTCACCAATGCCAATTAGCTACAGACTTCCTCCCAATGGAAGCTATGGCTATTGCTATGTTCCGATGAACAATTATCAGTTTAATTTTGTCTCATCATCAACTAATGCAACTCCAGTTGTCCATCGGGCTTCGTCTCAGTCTAGTTCTGCGTCCTTGGATAATATAGATCTAACTCTCTAGCCTACAATACGACATCAATGATTTTTGTTTTCACAAGATGTTGAATCTCTTCGGCGACATAGGCTTGTATGTAGAAGTTTAAGTTCGATTATGTGGATAGTATGCATTTTCCTGATGATCCAACCATCAAAGGGATATCTCAATTCCTAATGATCCACCCATCAAAAGGCTTTAGCGGCTCAAGAAGGCGGATGCAATGACATTAACTCAATTGCTGCTAAGTATTTTTGCGATAATAAATATTGGTGCTAAAAGGAAGATGTATTGCTTTCTTGTAACAAATTTTCAGATTTCAGTTGCTTGGGGGGACTTATTATATATATAGCATTCTTGTAAGCATCTAATTGTATTGTATTCTTTATTTTGTTGGTGTTAGTAGTGGAAAACTCTGAGTATGCTAGTTCATGGGAGCCCAAGTCTATGAACAATTAGAAACATTTCATATTTTGAAATTCTTGTACTAGCATCAAGAATTTTATCTTTCAAAATCAAACACTTACATCTAATAAAGTATATTAAAGATAATTACTTAAATAAAATTAGGAATAACTTTTTTTAACCCTTCACCAAGAGTTTCTACATTTTGTTAGGGTTGGAAGTGAGGGACACTTACAATCCAAGCAACTCCATCTTATCACGAATAACTTAAAATTTTATAAAAGTGTAAGAAAATTATAACAAATAGTTGGTATATCTAAATAATTTGTATTCATTTTCCTATTTATGAGTTTTAAACGGTAAATGTTTTTTAAAAAGAATTTATTAATTTTAAGCAAAGGCATGATAAAAATTTGTCTACATTTATAATTTTCATAAAAGTAACTCCAAGAAAATAACAATATATCTAGTGAAATCTCACGAGTGATGTTTGAAGAGGGTAGAATATACACAAACCTTACCACTAACTTGTGGAGGTAGATAGATTATTTCTGAAACACCCTCGGCTCAAATGCAACAAATTCCTAAAGAAAAAGGAGATAATGAAGAGAATAGAACAAATAACATGAAAACGATGCAAAGGTCTACCAAAAAAGAGCCAAAACAACAATAAAATCATGTGGTAATCGGAACTCCATATATTTTCTTCAACTGCAACTTTTATTTCCTAATCCTATATTTTCTAATTTGGATTTCCTAATACTAACCACCACTCCAAAATAGGAGAGAGAGATTACCTCTTATAAATAGTTGAATAATTGTTATACAACTACACTTACAAAACAAATACATAAAAGTGGAAAAAAAACAGGGCATATTTCAAGTTCTTTTAATGCATTGTCAGAGCTACTATTTTTCGGTAATTGTTAAAAAGAACTGAATCAGATTGTCTGAATTTTGCTGCGCTTGAAAGAACTGAACAAGAGTGAAAGTTTAGATATTCAATCAATCGAACCCTAAAACAACACTATCAGCAAACCAATCAATGGCACTAAAGTACACTAGAATTTGTTTGTAGAGAAGAAAAGACATTTAGAAACTTTGAGGAACCCTCTACTTTATAAACAATAAAAGGTACTATGAACATATGTTTATCGAACTTTATTGGAAAAGTCACGTTCATTTGGAAAAATCACAACTTTTCGAAAAAGTCACAATATTTCAGAAAAGTTACATCTTTTCAAAAAAGTCAGTACCCTTCGAAAAAGTCATAACCCTCCGAAAAGTCACACCTCTTCAGTTTTCTTTAATATTTAGAAAGCACACTCTCTGTTTTCTTGAACTACAACTTTAATTTCCTACTCCTTAATTTGGATATCCTAATGCTATCATGCCATTCCAATCAAAGTAGGAGAGATTATCTCTTGTAAATAGTTGGATAATTGTTCTCCAACTACATACTCATACTTTGTTAAAAGAAATCCATAAAATTGGAAAGGGCAAATCAAGAAAATGGGGGATAGCAATCGTAGTTTTAAACTATTTGGTGTTACGATCAGTACTGACGATAATGAGGATTCGGCATCAAGAAATAAGGGAAAGAGATGGAGTGAAGATGAACATAGGGCGTTCTTGAGTGGATTGGAGAAACTTGGAAGTGGAAATTGGACTGAAATTGCTAAACAGTTTGTGCCAAGCAGAACGAAAACACAAATTTCCAGTCATGCCCAGAAATATTTTGCATGGCTCAAGACTAAGAATGACAAAGCAGCAAAATCGACAAGTACTGTTGAGTTATCGTCGTCCACTACTTCAGAGAAAGAAACTTTGAATGAAGAAATTCCACTTTCACCAATGCCAATCAACTACAGAGTTCCTAATGATTTTGTGCCTCATGTTTCTAATACTGTGAATAATGGGGATTCAGTTGATTTTCTATCAAGAAAGCAAGAAGGAAAATGGACTGAAGATGAACACGAAGCGTTCTTGATTGGATTGGACAAAGTTGGAAGAAATTGGACTAGAGTTTCTAAAGAGTTTGTGCCTAGCAGGACACCAACGCAAATTACGAGTCATGCCCAGAAATATTTTGACAATCAAAAAAACAACAGAGGACCCAAACGCAGTGTCTTCGAGATTAATTTTGACCAAGAATCCACAAGTACTTGTCCAGAATCCGTGAAGAAAGGCAAAGAAGTTTTGAAATGATTTTGTGCCTCGTGTTTATAATATTGATCAGTCTTTTTTGTGTGGGAAAAATATCCCATCTGATTTTGTAATAATTAACTCTATTTTTATTGTTTCTTCTGTTAGTCCGAATTAAAGGTTTTTCATTTCAAACTGTGTCATATACCTTTTACTGTTTATTCAGTAGAATCTCAGAGTAGTATTATTTCACTTAAGTTCTTGCAGCCATCGTATTCTGATAAGAGACGTTGAACTTGATTACACAGGGGGGGTGGGGGTGACTCTGGACTGATTAGATGGTTTAACTACATTGTAACCTTTTCAGTTTGGATTTAATAAATATGTTACTTATTCTCATATTGGATCTTTGGCCCGCCAAAGTTGTAATGAAAAGTTTTTGTACTAGTTAAATGTCTTGGTTTTTAACTTTTTGCTTGTAAATGGAGGCTAAGCTTAAATACGAACGATGAACTTTTTCACTAGCATGGAAGACTTGTTAGTTATGACTTATGAATTATGATGCATTTGTGGTAATCTTTTCGGTAATTGTTTGAATATGCCTTTAAACAACTGAATCTTGCTTAGCATCATAGTCTGCAATGTTTAGGCTTCTACTAGAAAGTGAAAAATCAAACCCACCCGAGTCGATCAACAGAATTACAAAGATTCTCCATTTTAAAAAATATAGTAAAGTGTGAATATAGATTTAAAGCACAATAAACTTGCTGTATTGGTATAGTTTCAGAATTTTGACTTACACTTAAAAGGTTCTGTGATAACAGATCAGCAATTGTCATTCCACGGAAGAACCAAGCATATTGACGTGCAATGTGCTTAGTTGGTAGCTGATGGAAAAATTATGATGAAATAAAAGAGCTAGCAGCAGGGGAAATATCTTTAAGTTTCTTCCTTGGGATAGCATGAATTCTTCAGGTTGCAGTTGGGAGTATTTAATTTACTTAGCACAAAACAATACAAATTCAGACACCATAGGACAATAATATGCCAACTTGCAGTCGAATGTTTATGTTCTCAAGAAATCGTTTATTCAATCCAAATACAAAGATAACAAAGCAATTTGTGCATCACAGCATGAAACGAGAAGACAAAACTAGATTGAATCTCTCAAAGCTTAGACATTACAGCATCATTGTGGCAAGACTTTGCCACTGTCCCGTTTTCCTTAATATCCGAGTCAGACATGCTGGGAGGAACATCAACAGCTGGGGAGCAATTGAAGAACCCATGAGGCTGCATCATGAACAACATTTATCAAAAACAGAATTAACATAGTGATGTGGAGCATAGGATTTACGAAAATCATTGTACGTGTTTCAAAATGATGGATATCACCATATCCTCGGAAAAGAAAATTCTTTTGCTTCAAGAGAAATTAAAAAAAAACTTGAATGTGGGGGCCAACCTATCATCAACTCAAATGCAGGTACACAAGTCTAGAAATATTTCACCAACATAAACACAAGCTGTAAAGATATGGAACAAATGCTGTGTTGAGTGCTAGCAGTGTCACAAGAAACACAGCCCAACCCATTCTCAAACCCAGTTCTATTTTGTAAAGAAGCCATTAATATCCGAGGACTTGTGGGGCACAATCTAGAAATCCGGCATATAGTGGATCCTCCTCAACTGATTCTCCACTTAAATACAAGAATACAGCTCCAGCAAGGTTCAAATCCATGATGTCCCACTAACCCACATATCACATGTTGTGATTAGGAGTGACAAATGAGCGAGTCGAATCGAATATGAGTCAATCATAAAATGAGTTCAATAAAAATGGATAAGTTACTCGACTCGACTCACATTTTAAATGGGTAAAAACGAATTATCCAATGGATAATATGGGTACCCATATTTACCCATATTATAATAAAAATCTTGTTAAAAGCTTTAAAACAAAAAACAAAAAAAAACTTTTTTGTATCACTTCACTCCACCCCCTACTAAAACGAGTTACCCAATGGATAATATGGGTACCCATATTTACCCATATTATAATAAAAATCTTGTTAAAAGCTTTAAAACAAAAAACAAAAAAAAACTTTTTTGTATCACTTCACTCCACCCCCTACTAGCCCCACCCTATCCCAAAAAAGTGTAAAAAAAAAATAAAAAAAAATAACCATCCCACCCCTACCAGCCTCTACTATCCCCCCTCCACACCCCATCCCAAAAAAAAAATTAACAAAAACCACCCCACCCCCATCCAAAAACAAATTTTACAAGATTTTAAATTTTTTCCAATAAAAATTTTAAAAAATTTACCAACCCACCCCCTATCCCCAAAAAAATGTAAAAAAAAGTTTTATTTTTTTAATATAGATTGTTTTTTTTAAAAAAAAACGGACTTTTTTACTACTCATCCTTTTATCACTTTTTTTGTTTGTTTGTGTGAATGCACATCTTTTACCCAT